AAGTGGAAGACACTGTTAACAGGTTCTGTAGAAAACGTCTCCCTGTTTTCCTATGAGGTTCGGGAAAAATTGATTCCCATTTCATGGTAAATCCAATGGCTGTTCTTCAGCGGCAGCAGTAGAAGATTTCTTAGATGATGTTATTTCCTGTTATTTTTACCAATGTTGAGGATAAGCTGTGGGCTTAATAAGATGACATTTAGCGTTGGATGTTCCTCTGTGTGCTGTCACTATTCCTACACAATAAAAAGTACAGTTGACAGGTGGCTAATTTGGTCTCTCCCCAAACTCATTCCCATACAGACTGCAAATGACAGACTGACCCCTTGACCACATCCTGCAACAGACTGCTTCCTGTGAAGCCAGGTCTGGGACTAGCACAAGAAAGAGTGCAGTAGCCTTCTTTCATTCATCAGGGATATTGTTAAGCAGTTCCAGACAGGTTTTATAGCCTGCAATTGTAATGTGTCATTACTGACTGTTACGTCAGGTCGAGCAGGACAAAATGTTAACACAACTGGAAGAAAGTTTTCATAAAACCTATTTGTCTAAAGTGTGTGTGATGAATGTCATTTACAAATGCAAGCCAAAAACATCAGAATCAATGATGATCTCATGTTCATTTGCATATGTGAGCAAATATAACAAATACAGTACATCAGTATGAGTGGCAACATCCATCATACGATAATCACAGGTTCTGTAGTTCACCTTCCGATCACAGCCACTTAGCATAGAGATATTTTAAATTATTGACAACCAGTTGGTTGCATGATCTGTTTGATTGGCATTTTAGAAGTCGATGAATAATATGCAAGGTATTATACTTTATGTATAACAACTTCTTTATTATATTATGATGCATCGTTTCGGTATAGATTCATATACCGTTGTCAAGCAACAGTGTGACAACTGACAGACATAATGGAATATAAACCCAGGGTTCCTAACCTGAACTCACTTGTTTCTGATGTGATGTCAGACAGACACACACACACACACAAATAGACAGACAGACACAAACAGACAGACAGACAGACACGAACAGACAGACAGACAGACACAAACAGACAGACAGACACAAATAGACAGACAGAGAGACAAACAGACAGACACTAGCAGACAGACAGACACAGAGAGACAGACACAAACAGACAGACAGAGACAGACAGACAGACAGAAACAAACAGACAAACAGACACAAACAGGCAGACAGACACAAACAGACAGACAGACACAAACAAACAACTGACTGGTCTACCACTGGGACACTCAGATGGTCTCTCCAGCAGCAACTATGCAGCAAACAGACCCAGACTTGTGTGACAGATCTGTATGACAGACCTGTAAATGTGTGTTTGAACCAAATTTGAGGTCTCTTCAGCTAGGCCTGTACACACTCACCTGCATCATATCACAGTCTCACAGCCAGCATATCCACTTGTCCCCACTAATTACCAGACAGCCACAAACTGGGATGGACTGTCCTCATGGCCCTGATATTGCAGAGTTGCTGTGAAACTGATTTCACACTTCAGCTAACACTAACAAAAAAGAGCATAATATAACCATCAACATAATTGATTGGCACTTTATCAGAAAGCCATATTGTCAATACAAATGATTTCTGGTGTTTATCAAATCTGTATTGAGCTCCAAGTCAAACACAGCTACCGGTGTTGTTCTAGCACTCAACAAGTTAACAAGAATGTTTGTACACAATTGATTTTCCTCAACTGCAGTTGTATAATACTGAGAGTTGTTCATGGTCACAGATAATTGCTTGGAATTTCTTTGATGCATATGTATTTGATGCAAATTTTCTCACTTGAACAGGACTGTCTGCTAATTTAAACCATGCTGTGATTTTTTCTGTCTTTGATGTGACAAATGTGCTCATGTTCTGTCACAGGCAGGACAGCTTGTTTCTTTGAAGTGTGTTTTCAATATTTTGAAAAGCAATATATGGAACAGAATATTTGCCACTTCTGTCAAACACTGTTATGATAATTTTCGCTTTTTCTGCTTCAAGACCCTCATCATACAACATGGAAAGTTGACATGTACATAGGGAACCGGTATAGTGTAGTGTAGATCCTGTGTAGTGTAGATCCTGTGTAGTGTAGATCCTGTGTAATGTAGATCCTGTGTAGTGTAGATCCTGTGTAGTGTAGATCCTGTGTAGTGTAGATCCTGTGTAGTGTAGATCCTCCTGTGTAGTGTAGATCCTGTGTAGTGTTGATTCTGTGTAGTGAAGATCCTGTGTAGTGTAGATCATGTGTAGTGAAGATCCTGTGTAGTGTAGATCATGTGTAGTGAAGATCCTGTGTAGTGAAGATCCTGTGTAGTGTAGATCATGTGTAATGTAGATCATGTGTAGTGTAGATCCTCCTGTGTAGTGTAGATCCTGTGTAGTGTAGATCCTGTGTAGTGTAGATCCTGTGTGGTGTAGATCCTGTCTAGTGTAGATCCTGTGTAGTGAAGATCCTGTGTGGTGTAGATCATGTGTAGTGAAGATCCTGTGTAGTGTAGATCATGTGTGAGTGAAGATCCTGTGTAGTGAAGATCCTGTGTAGTGAAGATCCTGTGTAATGCAGATCCTGTGTAGTGTAGATCATGTGTAGTGAAGATCCTGTGTAGTGTTGATTCTGTGTAGTGAAGATCCTGTGTAAGTGTAGATCATGTGTAGTGAAGATCCTGTGTGTAGTGAAAGATCCTGTGTAGTGTAGATCATGTGTAATGTAGATCATGTGTAGTGTAGATCCTCCTGTGTAGTGTAGATCCTGTGTAGTGTAGATCCTGTGTAGTGTAGATCCTGTGTAGTGTAGATCCTGTGTAGTGTAGATCCTGTGTAGTGTAGATCCTGTGTAGTGAAGATCCTGTGTAGTGTAGATCCTCCTGTGTAGTGTAGATCATCCTGTGTAGTGAAGATCATCCTGTGTAGTGAAGATCATGTGTAGTGTAGATCCTGTGTAGTGAAGATCCTGTGTAGTGTAGATCCTGTGTAGTGAAGATCCTGTGTAGTGTAGATTCTGTGTAGTGAAGATCCTGTGTAGTGTAGATCCTGTGTAGTGAAGATTATCCTGTAGTGTGTAGATCATGTGTAGTGTAGATCCTCCTGTGTAGTGTAGATCATCCTGTGTAGTGTAGATCCTGTGTAGTGAAGATCCTGTGTAGTTAAGATCCTGTGTAGTGTAGATCCTGTGTAGTGTAGATTCTGTGTAATGTAGATCCTGTGTAGTGAAGATCCTGTGTAGTGTAGATCCTACACTACACAGAATTTACACTCCACAGGATCTACACTACACAGGATCTGCATTACACAGGATCTATACAGGGTCTTCACTAAACAGGATCTTTACTACACAAGGTCTACTTTACACAGGATCTACGCTATACGTGATCTTCAGTACAAAGGATCTATGCTGTCAGGGGATATGTTAATGGATGTCTAGTGAGCAACCTGAGTATATATATTTAGAGATTTCTGAATATGGAATACAGAGATACCTACAATGACTATTCATTTCATCTGTCAACTAAACAGTGTTTGTTTAAATGTATAGAAACTGCAAATAAACATGGAAGGTGATGATGTGTACACCCTGGCTGCTTGCTAGCTCAGTTGTGTTGCTCCGTCAGACTGGGATAGAGTCCTGCCACAGTTGGTTGTGGAGGTTGCAGATGATTAATGCTGAAAACATCAAACAGCTCTTAACATTCAGATCTGACTTTGTAAATGTGGACATTAAATCCGGGAAATGTCGGTCATGTAGGCCAGACATCCAAATCAATGATGACAACAATTAAAGTCTGCTATCGGAAAGTGAATTAATCAGTTTAAGTGGAAAGAAACATTCCACTACTTGCATCTGTCAGATCAATTCATATAATGAAGCGTGTGATTTAGTTAACTAGTTGGAAAGATGACTGCCTCTTGAGTAAAATTGTAGTCTTCCTGTTCAGACAGGACTGACGGGAAGACAACTGCCCAGGCAATGAGGCGGAATGTAACCAATAACTCACCGTATCTCCAAGTGTGTCAGTGATCTATGTCAGCCAGGTGTCTCCATCCCCTTGTCAGATACAGGTGTCTCCATCCTCTGTGTCAGATACAGGTGTCTCCATCCCCTTAGTCAGATACAGGTGTCTCCATCCCCTGTGTCAGATACAGGTGTCTCCATCCCCTTTGTCAGATACAGGTGTCTCCATCCCTTTGTCAGATACAGGTGTCTCCATCCCCTTTGTCAGATACAGGTGTCTCCATCCAGGTGTCTTCATCCCCTGTGTCAGATACAGGTGTCTCCATCCCCTCTACAGGTGTGTCAGAAGAAGTGTCTCTATTAAAATTTTAAGTATGAATATCAATATTGATATTTTCACTGAATATCAATATTGTTGTTTCGTGCTGTTTAGAATATTCAAGGAATGTTAAGATGCCATGGGCACGGCATATTGGAGAGAGGGTAATGCATACTACGTTAATTCGATTTACATTGTCTCAAGAACATTACATGCTATATATATATTGCAAGATATTTATTGTACATGGATCAAAAGAGGACATCAGCTGATTATATTAATAGTAAGATGGGTAAACATAAAATGCCAAATTAGCTAGATGTAATTTTAACAAAGTTGTCGCTTGTTTCTCTATGTGTCCTGGGATAAAACATCTGTTACTTATTTCTTTTTGTGGTCCTGAGTTAGAACAAGCCCCTGGCCATCTGCTGCTTGATCATTTATCTGATCTTGAGTTAGAACACATCCCTAGCTCTTTATTAATTGTGTCCATGTGTAGCTGTGTGTTAGAATAGGTCCTCAGCTCTGTAGTTTATGTTGTTAGAGGCAAGTAAATAGGTTTACGTGGTCAGGTGTCTCATATAAATGGTTTCTTGAGAACATGTTACTCATCGGAGTCATGGAGGTGTATAAACCATTCTGTTTCTCATAACATCTCATAAAGGTAAGATAGAGTGTATCTCATCTATATGTTTCAGTGCCATGCTGAACGGTCTGGGAGACTACATGGATCTTTTCAGTGGAAGCCCAGGTGAAAAATTACATGTAGAACACAGTACTACCATGTGAGGAACATCAGTAATGTGCGCCTTGACATTGGATGCACTAATGGTAAGATCAATGGTGCTGTTCTGACCTGACTAATGTAATTGTCTTCTTGGAAATATGTGACAGGACTTGCTGATTAAACTACAGGGAAGAAGCATGGATAAATCAGCAGAAGTGACAAACACACACTCTTCAGCCTCGGTATGCTGCCACTGCTAACAAGTCTCAACAAGGATTGAAAGGATGCTCCTACCAACGTATTCAAGGGTCAGCTCCATCAGGCTGTTCACTGTGAGAGATGACAATTTGGGGCAACCATCTAGATAACTCAGTCAGCAGCCCATTGTTCTTCATACTAGCAACCTGATTAAAAATATTTGCCCTCAGATGTTTTTCCTTTACATCAGCTTCTGTTTGGAACAATATGCCCCTCAACATCAAAGAATCTTCTATACTCAGCAGCTTTCAGTCTGTAATAAAACGGGGGCAGTATGGTAGCCTAGTGGTTAAAGCATTCGCTCGTCACACCCAAAGCCCAGTGTCGATTCCCAACATGGGTACAATGTATTAAGCCCATTTCTGGTGTCCCCCGCTGTGATATTACTGGAACATTGCTAAGAGTGCCATTAAACCATACTTATCATGGTCTTATAATGTACTCTATTCTGGAGTCTGGTTCTAAGTGTGTTCAATGTGTACTTCATCTCCAGCAGTGCACATGTATCTGTCAGTTCTAAGATATGATATGGAAACACAAAGATATTAATATATGCAAACATTATCATTCATAAATGTAATTGATGGCCCATTTTCCTCTTCCTTTTCAGTGCCAAATAAAGAATGGATGCCTTAATCTTCAGTACTTTGGTCTATAGACCTAGGTCTTGTTACCTATGACTGACAAGACAGTGATGAGCTTATGTTTACAGACATCCAGGCGTTGTTACCTGTGACTGACAAGACAGTGATGAGCTTATGTTTACAGACATCCAGGACTGTTGTTTACAGACATCCAGTGACTGACAAGACAGTGATGAGCTTATGTTTACAGACATCCAGGTGTTGTTACCTGTGACTGACAAGACAGTGATGAGCTTATGTTTACAGACATCCAGGTGTTGTTACCTGTGACTGACAAGACAGTGATGAGCTTATGTTTACAGACATCCAGGTGTTGTTACCTGTGACTGACAAGACAGTACCCTTTCCTTGAGTTTACAGACATCCAGGTGTTGTTACCTGTGACTGACAAGACAGTGATGGGCTTATGTTTACAGACATCCAGGTGTGAGACTGACAAGACAGTGATGACCAGACCTCCAGGTGGGTTACTGACCAACAAGACTGTACCCTTTCCTGAGTTTACAGACATCCAGGTGTTGTTACCTGTGACCAACAAGACTGTACCCTTTCCTTGAGTTTACAGACCTCCAGGTGTGGTTACCTGTGACCAACAAGACTGTACCCTTTCCTTGAGTTTACAGACCTCCAGGTGTGGTTACCGGTGACCAACAAGACTGTACCCTTTCCTTGAGTTTACAGACCTCCAGGTGGGGTTACCTGCTGACTGACAAGACAAGACTGTACCTCCAGGTGTTTTACCTGTGACTGACAAGACTGTACCCTTTCCTTGAGTTTACAGACCTCCAGGTGTGGTTACCTGTGACCAACAAGACTGTACCCTTTCCTTGAGTTTACAGACCTCCAGGTGTGGTTACCTGTGACCAACAAGACTGTACCCTTTCCTTGAGTTTACAGACCTCCAGGTGTGGTTACCTGTGACCAACAAGACTGTACCCTTTCCTTGAGTTTACAGACCTCCAGGTGTGGTTACCTGTGACTGACAAGACTGTACCCTTTCCTTGAGTTTACAGACCTCCAGGTGGGGTTACCGCTGACTGACAAGACTGTACCCTTTCCTTGAGTTTACAGACCTCCAGGTGGGGTTACCGCTGACCAACAAGACTGTACCCTTTCCTTGAGTTTACAGACCTCCTGGTTACCGGGACTTACCCTTTCCTTGCTGACCAACAAGACTGACCCTTTACACCAACAAGACTGTACCCTCCTTGAGTTTACCTTTCCTTGAGTTTACAGACCTCCTTGTGGGGTTACCGCTGATGGTTACCTGTGACTGACTTGAATAAACTTCTGTCGAACGTCATTCATACCTAGCATCAATACCAGCCTTACAGCTCAAACAAGTATTTTACTGCAGCTTCACAATCTTGGTGAGTTTGCACCAGTGTTGACATATGTTTAATGATGGTACGAGATAATAAGTTTGTATGTGTATAATAAAAGTTTCTACTGAGCTCGTGTAGGTGATACATTGTGATGAGCTGGTGTAGATGATGCATTGTGATGAGCTGGTGTAGACGATGCATTGTGATGAGCTGGTGTAGATGCTGTAGATGATGCATTGGATGCATTGTGATGAGCTGGTGTAGATGATGCATTCTGATGAGCTGGTGTAGATGATGCATTGTAATGTGCTGGTGTAGACGATACATTGTGATGAGCTGGTGTAGATGATGCATTGTGATGAGCTGGTGTAGACAATGCATTGTGATGAGCTGGTGTAGACGATGCATTGTGATGAGCTGGTGTAGATGACGCATTGTGATGAGCTGGTGTGATGAGCTGGTGTAGATGATGCATTGTGATGAGCTGAGGTGAGGTGATGCATTGTCATGAGCTGCTGTAGATGATGCATTGTCATGAGCTGGTGTCGATGCAGCAAGGCTTAAGTGTAGTGGAAGAGGCGGTTCTATATTCTCAGATGAGCTCATTATTTTCAAAGGGGTGTTTATGCTATCCCTATTCACCTACAGTACTTAATGAAGGCGAGTTGGGATGTAGGCAAAATGAGAACCAACCAGTACAATACACAGTTGCCAAGCATGGATATTAGATGTAACTTGAACTCCTGTGGCGTGCCACAAGTGAACAGAATTTTGTCGATCCAGGTTATGATTAATTGATAAATCAAAAATGACATCCCTACCCACATGCATGGAGGAACAGCACAATCTATTTCCAGTGTTTCAGGTGTCTTTGGGCGTTTGGTTTTGGCTCCGAATCCATGTTATTCTAGGTTTCTTTCTTTGATTACATTGTTCCTAATTCCTGACTTGGTTTGGAGAGCAGTGAGTGGAACCATAGCACACTGAGATATGTCTAGTAGTACACACAGTGAATGGATACAACTGATGTATATTGTGATTTGCTATCATTTCTCTTCTGATGGGTGTCTGTGGTTGATTCTCTTCTGTCTAGCACAGAAATCACAATCTATAATAGGGTAAAGGCTTCATCTGACATCAGTAACATTCACGGAAGTGCAGTGAAGGGAGTCAGTTGTTGTTGGAGGTAGATATTTCCCTGATGTATGAAATGTTGTTAGCTGGGGTCCACCTATGACTGGACTCGCAGTGATTGAGTGAGTTGGGTTTTACACTGCTTTTAGCAATATACCAGCAATATCACGGCAGGGGACACCAGAAATGGGCTTCACTCAATGTACCCATGTGAGAAATCAAACCAGGCCTTCAGCGTGACAAGCAAATGCTATAACCACTGGGCTACCCCAACACCCACTGACAATTGTTTATATTTGTATGTTTATACACAACAAGACTGAGATTGAGATATTTATTAAATGACTGTTGACTTGATGGTTCAAACAATGAATGTGATGAGGACATAAAACACATGGAAACCAACACAAGAACAAACACAAATAGAAACACAGAAGCAATTTGTTCGCAACAGAAACATTCTACCCTTGCTTCCTAACAACTTAAAATCCATCTCAGTATGACATCTTGGCAGAAGTTAAAACTGATTGCTAATCATGGCAAAGTCATGATGTCTATCCATTTTTTGATACAGTAAAAAATGAAAACAAAACCAAAGCAACCACATCTCTACCACACTGCTTTCCACCAAATATTTACTTTAGATCTTTCCTAGGGTCTCAAGTTGTGGCTAACATCAAACAGAAGCATATTTCTGTATGTCTGTGGTCATGATTTAAAGTATTATATATCATACAAAATCAGGATTCAATCACAATTATCTACAATTGATTTTATCATAATTATACTCAATACATAAAATCTAAAACTATGTCAACTCCAAACTCAGTATGCCTTTCAATCTGAGATTATTATTTTGACTTGTGAAGCCATAGATATAGTGGAACAATCTTCTGCTTCACAAAGTCTGTAATATAATTATGTGACAAACGACCACAGTTTTATCATGCATATACACAGAGCTGAACAGAAAGTATGATTACAAATATATGAATGCTATTTACATGATCATCTCCGCTCAATGAAAAACAACCAGTCCCTTCGTAAAATTCAGGTAGAACAATTAAGTAAAGTCTCCACACATATCAGTTTCTGCCAAACATTTCTGAGACTACTGCCTGAACTTGACCCTCAACATAATTTTCAGTAGAATTTAGGGTCATTACCTGGACTATTCTTTTGTTAGCTTCCAGGTCTGAATAGAAGTTTAAATCACTCTAGTCTTAGACAAATGGATGAAGTCAAAGTTGGACTTCCACATACTGCCAGTTTGAAGACAACCAAACTTAGCCCTACCTGATACCTCACAAAACCACTGTCTCTTCATGCTACAGAGAATTCATATTTGGTATGAGTAAAAAATATATTTGATATCTGCTAGCTAACACCATTACAGTTGAATGTAGTATGTATGTATATTGGGTGATGTGAAATGATAGGAAGATGTCTCAGTGCCAACTTACAATGAGGCTGAACAGACTGATTCTCAGTAATTACCAGGTTTATAAACCAAATTGTGACATTTAGTCTGAAAACTGCAACAACAGACATCAATTTCTACTTTGGGACATTCAAACAGTACCTGCTAGTACTTACTTGATGTATCTCCTGCTTTAGACTCCAAGTATATTTGACAAATAGATACACATTTTGGCTTGGTACACTATCCCTCTACCGGCATGTCCGCTAACCAGTCAATACACTTCCTACTGGCCACTTCAATCACTCTTTATTTCATGCTTTTATCCTACTAGAAATTGTAATAAAAAAGAGAGAAATTTTGTGTTCCTGTCATTTGCCCATATCTCTGCTGACCCCCTTCCTTATGGGGAGCCTATGAGCCAGTGGCTGTCAGGTCTAATTCCACTGCTGATATCTTTGTCTCACAATCATGGTGGTCTGGCCGTGCATGAAAACAAAACTATTAAAATGAAATCACCACAGCTTGGTTCCGAGAGTAAACACACAAGTTAATTAAGTTCATGTAAAATCTAAAATCTATATTAAAAGACCCATCTAAAACTGTTGGAAACATAAGCATAACTTTTAAGAAATGTCAGTATAGACGGAATGCCAAAAAGAACACTTTGCAGCATCTTCACACATGTGAATTTAAGCAATAACAATTTTTCATAGCTGTTCTGTTTGACAGTTAGGACAAAAATACCTTTCATAACTAGTCTTGTAATTCTCCAAATAAATACGTTTTCAACAATATATTTATATTAAGATCTACAAGATTCACACACTTTCATCTCATTTCAGTTTTGCCCCAATGCTGTTATGCACTCTGGGTTTCTTAAGCTACAGATACAAACCTGTACACACCATCTACAATTTGTTTCTATACAATCAAATGAAATTTCATTTTCAACCTGAATGCTACCTACTCCGACAATATAGGCATAAGACTGAACAGTAATATTGGCTTGCAAGCACTCGAACCGCTTGCTGGTTTCTGAGACCTTAAGTAATTGAAAAAAAAGGCCTTCCCTTTTATGCTTGCATCAATGCTGAGACTTCTAAAATACATAAATAAAATCTTGTTACATCAAATACTTTCCATGCAATACCATATCTGACAGGAGAACTACAGCATGATGTTAAACATGAACATCCACAATGACTCTTCTTGAAGTCTTTTGTCTTGGTCGTCCTATCAACTTTCTTCTACATAAACTCCAACACTTTTCTGAGGAAACTGTTTCATAAAATTGTTCTGAAACACATGTAGTGATTGGCTGATCTCAACATTCTCATCATGCATTTGCTGCTCGAACTACTGCTGAAATGTCACTCTCGCTGAATCCAAGACTGCGAGCTTTCTTGAACATCTGAAAATAGAAATGAATGTGGAGAAACTTTAAGTGTTCAAGATCCAATGGCGAGAATTCTTCACACAATAACCAAATCTGACAGGGTGGCTTTCAACATGCAATTGAGATAACATGAGGTTAGATAAGCAGGAACCATCCATTTATGGATTCAAGTGATACCTGCATGCTGCCCTTTAAACTGTTGTCAAACTTTCCTAATACCAATAACTGAGGGTTTTCCCTGGGTGTGAGAAGCTCTGCAATAACAATCACTTGGCACCCTAAATATTTCACTTCACTTGCCAACAAAGCAACATACAGTAGTTAAGAGAAACATACAGTAGCTAAAGAGACGACATACAGTCTACCAAGTCAGTAACATCAGTAGCTAAGGAGAGGACATAGCAGTCTACCAAGTCTGTAACATCAGTAGCTAAGGAGAGGACATGACATACAGTCTACCAAGTCTGTAACATCAGTAGCTAAGGAGATGACATACAGTCTACCAAGTCTGTAACATCAGTAGCTAAGGAGAGGACATACAGTCTACCAAGTCTGTAACATCAGTAGCTAAGGAGAGGACATACAGTCTACCAAGTCTGTAACATCAGTAGCTAAGGAGAGGACATACAGTCTACCAAGTCTGTAACATCAGTAGCTAAGGAGAGGACATACAGTCTACCAAGTCTGTAACATCAGTAACATCAGTAGCTAAGGAGAGGACATACTAGTCTACCAAGTCTGTAACATCAGTAGCTAAGGAGAACATGACATACAGTCTACCAAGTCTGTAACATCAGTAACATCAGTAGGAGATACATACAGTCTACCAAGTCTGTACAGTCCACCAAGTAACATCAGTAGCTATAGAGAGGACATACAGTCTACCAAGTCTGTAACATCAGTAGCTAAGGAGAGGACATACTGAGTCTACCAAGTCTGTAACATCAGTAGCTAAGGAGAGGACATACAGTCTACCAAGTCTGTAACATCAGTAGCTAAGGAGAGGACATACAGTCTACCAAGTCTGTAACATCAGTAGCTAGTAGCTCTACCAGTCTGTAGATCAGTAGCTAAGGAGACACATACAGTCTACCAAGTCTGTAACATCAGTAGCTAAGGAGAGGACATACAGTCTACCAAGTCTGTAACATCAGTAGCTAAGGAGAGGACATGCAGTCTACCAAGTCTGTAACATCAGTACCTATAGAGATGACATACAGTACAGAGTTAGTTACCTCATTAGCTGCAGAGGCAACATACAATGGCTGTTCCACACGATCCCCGAGGCCGAGGACTAGTCGTAGATCTTTCTGCTGGTGCTGCAGGGGAAAGTGGGGGTCAAACTTGCCATTCACCATTGCTGCAACACAGAACAAAGATCAGTACACAATACGTGACATGCCTCAGTACACACCGCATACACAGTTCTGAAGCCACCACTAGTTAATAATGCACTATATCACATATCTCAGTATACAGGACTTGGTGTGAGTGTGTGAGTTTAGTTTTACACCGCAATATTCCAGCGGGGGACAGCAGATATGGGCTTAACACATTGTACTGATGAGGGGTAATTGAACCCGGGTCTTCGGCATGACGAGTGAACGCTTTAACCACTAGGCTATCCCACCACCCTATAAAGGACTTGGAAAGACATATAGAAACATGCAATTTGGTAATATCACTGCAGTGAAGAGGCTGTGGGAAGCTCCTAGTGGGAGGTAACTCCTACAGCACACGTGCATGATATAACAAGGAAGGTTACACATGATATCTCAGGGGAGCTGTCTGGGAAAACATTCACAACATACTGGCAAACCTCAGAACAAAACATCTTCTGGCACACGGTGCTCTATACAATCAAAACAAACTACCTTCATTGTACAGAGTGACATGACTAGTGGACATTCAGGAGGTCCTGAACACAGCTGGGATGCCTTCAAGCAGTCACACCGAAATCTATTTATTTTTCACCAAATATCTACTATCTTGAAATTAAAGGAAATGGAAGCATTACTGTTACTGCATATAGAGAAACTAGTTACTGTATATAGCTATCAAAACCAGGTGATGTTGGGGGAGACAGTAAGTGGGACCATGAAATGGTGAGTGAGTGAGTGAGTGGGTGAGTGAGTGAGAGAGTGGATTCAGTGCACCTCTTGATAAGCAATCAAGTCTGCATCAGACATGGATACAGGGGATCATAGAAGAAACTATTCTTTACTATTCAAACATTAGACAGACTTTGTGCACTCAAATATGTACTGAGCAAATGGAAACAAGCACCATCAAGCCAAATTGCGAAGTGATTACAGAATGCAGATAGTGTTCATGCAATAGAAGATACTTGCCATTAACAATTGCTGAAAAGAGAAAAATAATGCATGAGCACAATTAATATTCACTTCAAAACAATTATCCTCATAAAGATAGTTGGATTTTTTAAAAAGGCTCAGAAAAGTTTGTTTGAAATACATTTCCAAGATAAATGATGATTTTTTTCCCTCTTTCAGTTTGACTTTTTCACTTAGGTTCAGGTTACATGCAAGTTTTGACAGACAGAAACATTTTTTTAAACTAAGTAGAAAAAAGACAAGCTAAAATAATTAATGCGGTATGTTGGCATTTTGCTAGTTTGTACAGATCTGAGAAAATTTGCTTGCTTCCAAATTTCAGAAATCCTACAAGCTCCTGTCTCCTGTGAACATTGCTATGCACTAATCTATGCACCATCAACTAGCCACTACAGTGCTGTTGGGCATACCTTGACTCTTATGATTAATGGTAGGACAGGAGAGTGAGCCAAGGGAGAGAACTTCTGACAGATCCTCCATGTCTATGCCCACTTTCTCTGCAAGTGCCATAGCTTCTGCCAGCCCTGCCATTACGGTGCCCAGCAGCATATTGTGGATAAGCTTCATCCGTGTGGCAGTGCCCACTTCATCTTCAAGGAAGACAAGGTTAATGGTAGATGTTAGTTAATAAAATTGACAAAACAGATGAACATAAATCCAGATAGACAATGAAAACTTTATCTGACTAGATAGGGTCATAACAGCTGACTGTAGTAGTGCTTCAGTACAGATTTTCTGACATGCTATTTCTAGTGTTGCGTGCTCAAAGTAATGTCTTAGCATTGGGGAAATGATGAACACTCAGTATCTGTGTGTATTATGGCCAACCATTACAGTATCGGTCGTACATTTTATGAAATGATTTGACTGTTTACAGAGCAGTCACTGATACAATAACTGTGGAGCTTAGAGTCCCAACATCCGCTTCAAGAAGAACTGGACAAGCTGAAACTCTAATTTAATAATGCAAGCAAAATGTCTTACTTCCCAAGTAAAATGACTTCTTGCCCATGGCTTCAAAGCATGAGAAACAGTCATCATAGAGCTTCCTGTCTCCTGATGTCAGGATAACCAATCGTCCCTCCAGGGCGGCACCCGACTCCCAACAACAGGTGCTTCCAGGAACACGCCACCCCTGGCCATGATGGCCTGCAATACAACACACATATATTAGTGGGTCCTTATACAACATAATAATATAATAATAATGCCATTTATATTGCACCGTCTACGCAACAGCAGCAGCCCTAACACATCATACAACAGTATCCCAATACATACTTCTCTTGCCAGATGTCCCAACACAATACACTACAATAGTGCTGAATAGTGAGTAAGTTGGCTTTGACTGTATTTCCTGAAGTGATGCGTTTCTCAGATGACTACCACTTATTTTCCCACAAGCATGGGTATGATATAGACAAAACACAATCTTTTGTCCACAAAACAGGAACATGAAGTCAGAGCACCTCTGTTGTCAGTGACAACCCAACCACCTACCTCCGCAACATCTTCAACTGTCTCCTCGTCAACTGTGGACATCTCCACATAACACTTCCCTCGTGAAATGCCCTGTAGCACTCCAGAGTTGCCAAACACAATCTGAAACAGAATTTTTAGTCATTCATAGTGTATGCAAAGTCATTTATTTGTCGAAAGTATGCATTATAAACTGTGTTGCTACATCTGCAGTAAGATCACCATATTGGATAGTGTTACTACACCTGCAGTAAGATCACCACCGTGGATAGTGTTACTACCACTGCAGTAAGATCACCATCATGGATAGTGTTACTACACCTGCAGTAATATCACCATAATGGATAGTGTTACTACACCTGCAGTAAGATCACCATCATGGATAGTGTTACTACACCTGCAGTAAGATCACCATAATGGATAGTGTTACTACACCTGCAGTAAGATCACCATCATGGATAGTGTTACTACACCTGCAGTAAGATCACCATAATGGATAGTGTTATATCCATATCCTGATTGCATAGCGAGTGAGTGTGTGAGTGTGGTTTTACGATATGCTGCTTTTAGCAATATTCCAGCAATATCACAGCGGGGGACACCAGAAATGGGTTTCACACATTGTACCCATGTGGTGAATCGAACCAGCGTGACAAGCAAACGCTTCGACCACTAGGCCACCCCACCACCCCCTGACTGCATAGATCCTTGCTTTGTCTGGTCCAGACTGCAGTCCACATATATCTGACATATTGCTCAGTGAGGCACTGAACACCGAACCAACAGTAACGGATTGTTTTGCTACTCACATCTCGGACAGCTCCAGAGTCGGCCACACACGTGAAGGTGATGTCACAGTTCTGAACAACATCATTGGGGGATGTACCACGTAATGCGCCTGCCTTCACAAACTCTCTACACTGAAAACAAAAGGGTTCTATGAGCCAAACAAATCCTTTCTAAAATTCTCATCAACAAAAGTATCAACAAATATGAAGCACATGACTTACTACCCATAATGTTTCCAATTTTGTATATCAGTGTTTCATACACAACAGTCAGATTTACATAACACAATTTTTCAAATCTCGAGGCCCTAAACATTCTAGACAGTTAATTGTTTAATGCCATAACATCTTCCCAAACAAACAGCAACACTAACGATTCAAACAAAACATGACGTCATCATAAGAAGAAATACATGTGCCAATGTTCAGCTAAGTCAATCTGGCAATATCAGAGCCAGCTTCCACAGTCCGTCAATATCAGAGCCAGCTTCCACAGTCCGTCAATATCAGAGCCAGCTTCCAGAGCCAGCTTCCACAGTCCGTCAATATCAGAGCCAGCTTCCACAGTCCGTCAATATCAGAGCCAGCTTCCACAGTCCGTCAATATCAGAGCCAGCTTCCACAGTCCGTCAATATCAGAGTCAGCTTCCACAGTCCGTCAATATCAGAGCCAGCTTCCACAGTCCGTCAATATCAGAGTCAGCTTCCACAGTCCGTCAATATCAGAGCCAGCTTCCACAGTCCGTCAATATCAGAGCCAGCTTCCACAGTCCGTCAATATCAGAGTCAGCTTCCAGCTTCCACAGTCCGTCAATATCAGAGCCAGCTTCCACAGTCCGTCAATATCGTCCAGCTTCCAGTCAGCTTCCACAGTCCGTCAATATCAGAGCCAGCTTCCACAGTCCTTCAATATCAGAGCCAGCTTCCACAGTCTGACAATATCAGAGCCAGCTTCCACAGTCCGTCAATGTCAGAGCCAGCTTCCACAGTCAGACAATATCAGAGCCAGCTTCCACAGTCCGTCAATATCAGAGCCAGCTTCCACAGTCCGTCAATAGCCAGCTTCCACAGTCCTTCAATATCAGAGTCAGCTTCCACAGTCTGACAATATCAGACAAAATGGTGATGCTCTGTTTGGCTAAAGTGCCTAAAGGAGGGTCTACTAAAAACATGAAACACTTCAAGAAATGGAACTTGCTGAGCACTACTACTAAATACATATGCACCAAATTTCATTACATGTCGAAAAGAAATGCCAAAAAATGTTTTATCAATATGTCTGCTGTGGTGGCCATATTAAAAATCAGATTCAGATTCCTTTGCACACACTGGTTGAAACAAATTGTACAAGTTTCAGCATCATTGGGAGTGATCCCTGAGGGATAGTTGCACTGTACAAGGTGACCATCCCACTAACCAAGTTTCAGGCTTCAGGCCCTTGAAGGTTACAAAATAAAATTAATTTTTTTGTTTGTTTGGCTTACTGGGGGAATTTTGGAACAGACCCACTACTACCTTTATGCTAAATATTTTAAGCCATAAGAATCTACTGATCAATACAACAAATACTATAAATATTAATGACTGGATAACCGAAAAGGGGTCCCAAAACATTCACTTGTACTCGTATGACAGTCATCATGTCTGTAGAGGCTTTTTGGTCACAGAGTGACTTATATGTCTGTTCAATATTGAAAACCCAAAAATATATCCTTGTGTTGTTCTGTTGTTGTTTTAGCAGCAGTCAGCACTATTACAGTATTATCACAGGGGCCTCTAGTAATGTAGTGTGGAGAAGACATACCAGTGGTTGATATGATTGCCAACATCCCCCTGGATCAGAACGCGATACCACATCCACCCACCTGATCACCCGCTCCATGACGTCACCTCGCACAACAAACATAGTTTACTGGGGTCGCATTGTAACCCGGACTCCTCGGTGTAGTACTGCAGAGTGTTTGATTGTAATTTAAACAGTGAGAGGAGTGACCTATTTACCCCCACCATGAGAGCTGCACATCCATCAACTTTTTCCAGGAAACCACCATTCCTGCATGTCTACAAACACTTCCAATGTACAACACAAACACAGAGATGTCAAACTAATTTTTTCTCCATTGCATTGAATACTTAAACCACTGCTTCCAGCTGTGATCTTCCCTCACCTATGGCCCCTCACAATATGTAACTCTTATAATTTTATGTCCCTGTTTTATAACTGATGTATACACAATCTCCTGTAGTACTTACAACTTCCTCCATGTATTCAACCATTTGAATTAAGAAATAGTTCCTCATTCTGGGAGATGACTCGAGCAAGCAATGCACCAAATTCACTACATAAAAATCTTTGTTATTCAGTTACAACAAACAGATTTATATAATGTCATTATTTGATGAGAAATGTTCATTCAGAACTACCCCAGTAAGTCTGGGCTGCACTCATAGCACATGCGCAGTGAAATAGGTTCGCGCAGCTTGGAAGCGGGTTGTACGGTGAATACTCGGTGAATGCTTTGGTGTGAGCTATTTTTCTAATGTTTTGTTGAAATTTCACAGGCGCAAGCTTTTTATATGTTATGACAGTAGATTACCGATTTAACTGTTTACGTAATTTCATTTGTCTATTTCCACCACACGTTCTTCTTATATACCAAGTCACTTTCTCAGTTCGATACTTAAAAGCAATGTAATTATTTAGCGATGACAGAATTTCTAACTGTGATATAGATACAGTCAAATCCCGATGAGTCGAATAGCTGGGGACCAAGTAATACATTCGACTTATCGATGTATTCGAGACATAGGTATGTCTATGAGGGTAGAATAAAACATGATCCAGTCCTAATTCCTCCGCCTAAGCATTTGTTTACCTAATGATTTCCCTATCACTCATAGGGGCACCTTATCAGTTCCAGTCTGATTAGCACAGACAGTGATTTCCGTAAAATCACTAATCTGCCTTTTGAACTCACCCGTCAAAAGGTGGCGGAAAGGTGTGAGCCGGGCTGGTTTGTTAATTGGATCAGTTTGCTGCACCAATCAACTTCTCATTGACTGACTTCGGCTTATGTATACAAGATTGCTGTTGCTTGAATCTCATGGGACCAAATTTCCTTCTCGAGTCATCGTGTGTATTTATGAGACGAATTCGTGTAACCGGTATTCAAATGATGACAACTATAACAGGAAATGGTCAGGACCGACAGGTACTTCGAGTTATGCATAATATTCAAGACACCGGCATTCGGCTCATCGGGATTTGACTGTATGTCATTGTCACAGACAAAACTCAATGCCTGTTTTATTGACACCTATGTGTCTGCCTGCCTGTCTGCTAATGACAATATTCAATACACAACTTCGATCACTAACCACATGCAATTTGAACTTAACACCTATCAGGCTATACACCATAAACAAAACGCATTGATTTATGGCCCGAGTTCGGTCTCTGTCACATTATGTTATTACACAGACAGGCAGGTGTGGTACTTGTACACATGACATGTTATGATGTCTGTTGATTGCAAAATGTTATACACAAAAAATGAGCATGTATTTACAAAACGCAACATCTCTATATATACACACACAATGAGCCGTTAGTGCATCTGCAAATGAACCAGCCGTTACACTTGAGTGCACACCCACCCGCTCTGACTGGGTTCGGTATCCCAGCTGCTTCGTTTCTTGGGAAGTAGACCCAAGTACAAAATATTGCACCTTTGATTTGCGATTGCATGCTTATAATTTTGTTTATATGTTTTTTCATAATCAGCAATGTATATTATATGTCATTAATAAGTGATAATTGTGTTTTAATTATGTTTGATTTTTTGGTTGCATGTGACCTTTAACAAATGACTATATCTATCAATAACTAATTATGAGCAATGTAACAAGTAATGAGAAAAGTTCTGTATCATATGACTGATAAACCATGAACCAGCTGGTAGAGCGTCAGTCAGTACTACAGCTGGTAGAGCGTCAGTCAGGACTACAGCTGGTAGATTGTAAGGCAGTACTACAGCTGGTAGAGTGTCAGTCAGTACTACAGCTGGTAGAGTGTCAGTCAGTACTACAGCTGGTAGAGGGTCATTCAGTACTAGTGAGTGAGTGAGTTTAGTTTTACGCCGCACTCAGCAGTATTCCAGCTATATGGCGGCGGTCTGTAAATAATCGAGTCTGGACCAGACAATCCAGTGATCAACATCATGAACATCGTCATTCAGTACTACAGCTGGTAGAGCGTCATTCAGTACTACAGTTTGAAGAGTGTCAGTTAGTACTACAGCTGGTAGAGCATCAGTCAGTACTACAGCTGGTACAGTGTCAGTACTACAGCTGGTAGAGCATCAATCAGTAATGCAGCTGGTAGATTGTAAGTCAATACTACCGCTGGTGCAACATTAGCTTGCAGGACTCAATATTGATTAACGTCAGTTTACCAGGCTGAGATATTGTAGTAATTATCCTGCAATCAATAACATATCAAATCTGCCAGTTAACTTTGTAAACATACGCCCATTGACATGACCTCTTCTGAAAGTACAAGTAGTTTGTGCATGCAGTATACATGTGGACAAGGATTGCAAGGGTTGTGATCTTGCACATCCCTCACCAAGAAACAGGTGCCCATGAAGAGTACACCTGGCTTGAAGTAATTCTACGCTCCTTTTGAATGTGGAATTTACGTTCATGTCTTTATTGACAACTACTAATCACAAAGAAACACATATTTTTACAATGACCTACCCAAGCATTAAACTAGGAATTCCAATCAATTGCCATCGGCAAGCAAAAGGAAAATATCCTGATACTGTGTGAAATTGATCTTAAATTGGAACTGAACATAAAACATTCTTATTTTTGTAAATTCTAAGAAATTAGGACATTGTCATTTGCTTGCAGTCCTGGGGACATTTCAATTGCTCTGGGGTGTAACCACGATGAGAAATACTCCAATCTGGAAGGATTTTGTGTAGGAAGAACTCCTGCACTGAAAGTGACACACATGTGGAATTGTCTATGTCTTAGTGAAGACAGTTGGACAAGCTAAATCTGACAATCTGACAATCTCATGGTGTCATAGTAATTCCACACCCAGTAAAAAGCAATGGGAAAAGCTGATTTTACACTGTTCAGTTACCTACTGCACAAATGCTGCCACCCACACCCCCAGTATACACACTGCTGTGTTCTCTAGAGCCCTACACCCCTGTGTGTATGTGAACCCACACCCCCAGCATACACACTGCTGTGTTCTCTATAGTCATACACCCTGTGTGTATGTGAACCCACACCCCCAGTATACACACTCCTGTGTTCTCTATAGCCCTACACCCTGTGTGTATGTGAACCCACACCCCCAGCATACACACTGCTGTGTTCTCTATAGCCCTACACCATGTGTGTATGTGAACCCACACTCCCAGTATACACACTGCTGTGTTCTCTAGAGCCCTACATCCCGTGTGTATGTGAACCCACACCCCCAGCATACACACTGCTGTGTTCTCTATAGCCCTACACCATGTGTGTATGTGAACCCACACTCCCAGTATACACACTGCTGTGTTCTCTAGAGCCCCTACATCCCGTGTGTATGTGAACCCACACCCCCAGTATACACACTCCTGTGTTCTCTATAGCCCTACACCCTGTGTGTATGTGAACCCACACCCCCAGCATACACACTGCTGTGTTCTCTATAGCCCTACACCCTGTGTGTATGTGAACCCACACTCCCAGTATACACACTGCTGTGTTCTCTAGAGCCCTACACCCCGTGTGTATGTGAACCCACACCCCAGTATACACACTGCTGTGTTCTCTATAGCCCTACACCCTGTGTGTATGTGAACCCACACTCCCAGTATACACACTGCTGTGTTCTCTATAGCCCTACACCATGTGTGTATGTGAACCCACACCCCCAGAATACACACTGCTGTGTTCTCTATAGCCCTACACCCTGTGTGTATGTGAACCCACACCCCCAGAATACACACTGCTATGCACCAACACTGCCAACATTTCCTCTGTTGGCCAGTAATAACCTGCCAAGGTGCGTGTTACTGTGCTGTCATGTCTGTACTGCTTATCCTGTGATCGAAGGCATAATGTAGACAAAGTAGCGACAGCAATTCCATGACAGGATCAATTGGTAATAATGCTGCATGCAGTCGTTTTATTGATTCACCATTACTGGACTGTTTGTGCCCCAGGGGCCATGTACAAACACATAGTTGTAGTCAGCATATACCCGCTCCATCTTATCAAAACTGGATAACATGAACAGGGAGGTAGAACTCAGTTAACACTAACAACATAATAACAAATTATTCAATCAAAACTTCCCGCTGTAGTTGCAACAGTGAATCACAGAATTTCAATAAACAGTTACAATTACCACTGAAGGGCGTTGGATGCAGCATAATAATTTTATGAATGAGAATAAATAAGTTTGCAACAATTCACAAGTCTTTTTGGTGCTGATAGTTGTTGCCAGGTAACCATATGAGATCATGAAAAAAGTAAGTTGTATCTTTTGTTAGGAATTTACATCAGTTTCATTGATTGATTACATTGTATCACAATGAGAAATCATACAAAGGATAAACATTTATTCCAAATGATTAATTTTTTGTTACAGTTATTTTAGAAATGTAATTGGGTTTCTAGGATTCATGACACAAAATTAAGTTGAAAAAAAGAATGTATTTACACTAGCACTGATTTATAACAAATGTTCTTACTTTGCCCGAGAACAATAAACCTAGAAACCAAGTTAACAGGATGCATTCATTTCCCCTCACGGTATAACAGGGAGAGTACTGATAATGGACTAACCTCTCCCTCTTAAACTGCATCCAGACTGAGCTTGCTAGCTGCCACCCCCACACAGGCAGTGGAGATGCCCAAGCAAGCACACTACCAGAATCAATAGGTTTGAGCAGCCAGGAGCATCACTGCCTGTACTTGCTCATTCCTTCTCTCATTACAAATGCACAGCCACAATTAAAATTTGGACGGAATTTCTTGTGTTGGGTGAAGAGAAGACAATGTGGGCCTCCAAGGTCCTCCAGAGTCTGTGGGTAAGTGATGGGGAATGTTGGTTGGGCTTTTACTTTGTGATCTAACTGTACAGCCAGCCGTCTGCTCATGCTGTTTTGTGTTCTAGGCACTACACCGAACATTTCTGAATACTGTGTTAGTGCTGATCTCTACACCACCATGCTTTTGTTGTTATGAGTCATATTCTTGTAATATGCAGGCACCACCTGACTTACTGTGTCAGGTGGGCTGGATAACCGCTACATTGGAACAACAAGCAACACTGAGGCAATAATTTCCTTCATGTGTCCGAATGTTTGCAAGAAAAATTGGAATACCTACTCAAGTTTCCTGTTACAACTCGGTAACAAGAAGTCAGTTTCTTAGTATAAAAACATACATAAAGTTGATTCAGGATGTCTTCCTAAAGTTGTGCTTCCATAGACAAACTAATCTCTTGACCTGGTACATATCTTGGAGACTTGCATTAATTTGTTAATTACTCACTAAATTTAACACTGACTTTAATGTTACCAATACCATTTCACATAAAACTTCATCTGTACCACATATTCAAGTGGGAACATTGCCTAAAACAGAGCAAAACCCCTGCACCATGCACCCTAGACCCCAGTCAGGAAAACATGGGTCCGGTTACACAACCTTGTTTATATCAGCTAAACCTAGAGACTTCCTCAAAGGCCAAGTTCAATACTCACATCTGGAATGAAATACATGGGATTTATCAAGCCATGCTGGGCGGCTAACATCTGCCTGAGTCTGCAGCCTATGTCAGTCCAGTTACAAACTGGGTGTGGAAGTTGGAACCAGTCATATAACTACTATTGCTAAGTCTTTGTAGATGTGATAACAGGACCAGATACAAGGACCAAAGGGGTTCTAATTTTTCCCTTTACAAGAATATGACTTAAGCCTTGAATAAAATGACCCTATTTTCCAAACTTTGCTAGATAAATACCTGAAGCAGTAAAGATTTTGAATGTCATGATTTGTAACTATGGTAATTCTACAAACAATTTGAATTCTTAGTTATGCAATCAATGTAGACTGTGTCAGTCTTGGTTTATCTGAATAAGAGACAATAAATGTAAGTCATACTTTGTTGGTTACTGGACAATAGAGACAATAACAAGTATATGTAATCTTTGTTGGTTACTGTGACAATAGCAACAATAACATCTGCAAGTAATACTTTGTTGGTTACTGTGACAATAGCAACAATAACATGTGCAAGTAATACTTTGTTGGTTACTGTGACAATAGCGACAATAACATGTGCAAGTAATACTTTGTTGGTTAAGTAATACTTTGTTGGTTACTGTGACAATAGCGACAATAACAATAACATAATACTGCAAATAACATGTAATACTTTGTTGGTTACTGTGACAATAGCGACAATAACATGTGCAAGTAATACTTTGTTGGTTACTGTGACAATAGCGACAATAACATGTGCAAGTAATACTTTGTTGGTTACTGTGACAATAGCGACAATAACATGTATAAGTAATACTTTGTTGGTTACTGTGACAATAGCGACAATAACATGTATAAGTAATACTTTGTTGGTTACTGTGACAATAGCGACAATAACATGTATAAGTAATACTTTGTTGGTTACTGTGACAACAGCAACTACTAACAATATAAGCAATATTTTGTTGCTTTCTTTGATACACATGCTGTTCTCTCTTTATCATTGCTGTGTAGCTCAAGTCACCTTGGAAAGAATTACATCAATGGCCTCAGCTTTAGCTTCAAACTTGAATATCAGGAATTAACTGTTTATCACTTACTATTTCTTGTAATAGTGTGACAAGCATGTTACTTGTACAGCCACATATGAAGTTGGAGCATGTTCCCCTTGTCAGTGATGAATGGTCATAGCTCAACAAACTCTAAATATTATATTTTTAGAAAATTATAAAACAGTAATGAGACATCTGGTCATTTCGTGATCTAAAAAAGATTTTCAGGGTATTCTTCTTTGTATCAAGTTACAAAAAAAACAACCCCCAAACATGGTATCAGCAGGCATGTCTAATTTTGTCTCACAATTCTGTTTCATAAATCTGTTGACATCCTGGAGCTACTGACAAGAGAGTTGACACAACAGGGACTGACAATACATATTTTATCTGGCACGTGACTACACTTTAGGTGACCTCAAATATAGCTGTCAACTTCAAATGAGCAGCTCACCAGTACACAGAGCTATGCAGCTGAGTGACTTTCTCTGTGACTTTGACCCACAATACTTTGCTTGCTGAGGTACAAAAACACTGCTATCATCACCACCACTCAGTGTTTGTGACTCTCAGTACCCCATGTTTAAGTCTGATGGGCTAATCACTGCCTGTGTAAGTCACTTGCACATGCTGATGGCATATCCCCAGGGAGAAATCTGGCATGAAACAGTGGCCCCAGGTCTGACGGTGTGGTGTAGCTCCCCACATAGTGACACTCAAATATCGCTCAGAGTTACCCTCCTTTACCATCACAATATATGATTAACACATGATGATGGACCAACTTGTTACTAGGTTTGTGTTCATGTCATACTGATGAATGTTCATCACTCCAATGGCACCATAACACAGATCCAGAGTTTGAGCTCCATAGTCTGACAAGATACTCACTATACGTAGTTCTTGATACATGGTTTCGTACCTTGGGTACCATTTGTGGTACAGTGGTCAAAATGGCTCTATCAGCTTGCAGGGTTGCTGCTGGCTCTTGTCTTTGGGTCAACAAGTTGATGTACGTCAATGATGCCCCTTTACCAAGTTGATTTGCAGATATGTCGTCAATGTACTGAACTAGATTCAGTTAATGTAATAATATTGTAGCCCTCATGTCGGGGGTGTGGCTTTGTGACAGTGTCTGAACACAGGACTAAATGTCACTGGGTCCTATGATCTCATTAATACCTTTGCATTAGGACAAAACACAACCAATTGACAGCCTGCCTCTTCCACACAGCACATGTTCTTACAAAGCATATTAGCTGTTTCTAACACCCACCATACAACACCCAGTTTCTTACACCCATCATACAACACCCAGTTTCTTACACCCACCATACAACACCCAGTTTCTTACACCCACCATACAACACCCAGTTTCTTACCCACCCACACCCAGTTTCTTACACCCACCATACAACACCCAGTTTCTTACACCCACCCTACAACACCCAGTTTATTACACCCATCATACAACACTCAGTTTCTTACACCCACCATACAACACCCAGTTTCTTACACCCACCCTACAACACCCAGTTTATTACACCCACCATACAACACCCAGTTTCTTACACCCACCCTACAACACCCAGTTTCTTACACCCATCATACAACACTCAGTTTCTTACACCCACCCTACAACACCCAGTTTATTACACCCACCATACAACACCCAGTTTCTTACACCCACCCTACAACACCCAGTTTATTACACCCACCATACAACACCCAGTTTCTTACACCCACCATACAACACCCAGTTTATTACACCCATCATACAACACTCAGTTTCTTATACAGATCATACAACACCCAGTTTCTTACACCCACCCTACAACACCCAGTTTCCAGATCATACAACACCCATCATACAAGACCCAGTTTTTACCCACAACATACAACAGGACAAGATGATACTGGTATTAGTTTGACCTGGAGACTGTGTAAACTGATAAGCCTATTGTGGTGACTGACAGTATCTAGTGTCGTATCTGATGTGTGCCAGTGAGTGCCTTGCAGGCTGCTGATCATACACACATACCCACTGACATGAGCGAGAAGAACACTAGTAAAGCTATACCTGACAGAAATTAACTTAGGTCATCCTTCATCCCTTCAGTCATGTAGATCCTCCAACAGTGTCAGGTCCATTGACTTTCACAGAAACAGTGGGTACAGTGCAATGATGGAAGAATGGATCAAATCGTTTCACATCATTGACACAAACCATTTTGACATTTTATGCGTCGGTCGTAGCCAAATTTACTTTGAAAAACACACACAGGCAGTTGAGTGACCTGACCTCAGATCCTGTTGGTAATTTAAGGTAATTACCATATGTTCGGAACATTTGCCTCTCAGCACATAATGTCAAATGTTGGTAACTATGGGAGATTCAGAACCTGAGGAAAATTTGAAAATAACATGGTTCAGGGATTGTGTGACAGACTATTTCGGTACACTTTTCAGATCCTACTGATAAACACCTATTTCACTACTTTATACATCTTACATCAACAGTATGAATAATCAACAGGAATAATAATATCAGTATTTGTAACACTTGACAAACTGACAAGAACACTTTATGTCAAGCTCCCTATCAACTGGTGTCATCAACACAACAGTTATGTGAATGTCTCCTTTACCAGGAGTGCCCTAATAACAGGTGTCTACAGCTATCCGCACAATTTCTGTCTGCCACATACAAAGTCAGGTCCTGACAAGTTACCAGGCAGTGTACAACATCCTCGGTAGGCCTGTATTTCCTGCAGATGACTGTAGATACAGATGTTGTGTGGACTGTAGGCTTCATTCTGTATATCAGTTCCCTGTCTTGCCCTTCTCACTGAGAAATAGTCAGGAGGATTTAATTGGCAGGCATTGTCACAACTTCAGCACCTGGCAAATATCACTCATAGCATGAAAACCTCAGTCATAAGATATATATATAATATCCACACTCCCACCTACCCACATCCAAGTGTTCCATCCCCACACACCAGTATTGCATCCACACCTCCCCACATCTGAGAATTGCATCCACACATCAGTACTGCATCCCCACACACCAGTATTGCATCCACACCTCCCCACACCTGAGAATTGCATCCACACATCAGTACTGCATCCCCACACACCAATATTGCATCCCCACCTCCCCATACACCAGTATTGCATCCCCACACCCCAGTATTGCATCCCCACAACCCAGTACTGCGTCCCCACCTCCCCACAACCCAGTACTGCATCCCCACCTCCCCACACCA